TTAGGCAAATCTGCTGCACAAGACCTTTTTAAAGTGTTGAAGAGCAAAGATGTCAGCTTGAGGACTAAGGTGCACCTGACCCAAGCCATGGTATTTCAATAACATCATATGCATGTGAAAGCTGGACAGTGGAAGGAAGACCGTAGAATTGATGCTCTTGAGTTATGGTGTTAGAGGAGAATATTGAAAGTGTCATGGGCTGCCAAAAGAACCAATAGATCTGTTTTGTTCCTTGGAGGCCAAGATGGCCAAACTTCGTCTCTCATACTTCGGACTTATGGTCAGGAGGGGCCAGTCGCTGGATTAGGATATCATGTTTGGTAAAGTTTGGAAGGTCAGAAAAAAAGAGGAAGACCCCCAACGAGATGGATTAGCCAAGTGGCAGGATCGATAGACTCAAGTGTGGCAACAGTAGTGAGGTTGGCCCAGGATCAGGCAGTGTTTCGTTCTATTGTGCATAAGGTTACTCTGAGTAGGTATCGACTTGATGGCACCTAACAAGAAGGATTACAAGAACAACACTCCCCTACTCTAAACAGACAAAAAATACAAACTATTGAAAACTTGTTTCTAAGCAAGAGGATATGAAATTGCAAAATGAGGGAATAAGAAAGAGTTTCTCTCTGAGAAATGCAGCCTTCAGAAAAGTAGAGAAAAGGGCTGGCCACTCCCACTTGGCACCCTAGCCCCTGCTAAGAGAGGTGAATGCCATCTTGTCTTCCCTCATAGGAATACTGATGTCCAGAACACCTCAGACTCATTTTTCCTCTATTAGTCTGGCAACAAAATGAGGCCCAAGAACTAAGAATTCCCACCTGTAGTCAGGAAGTAAGTAAACTGAGCAATGTTAAAATGTAGCCTGTAGTTAGTTCTCCTTTTTTAGGAACTTTCAGTATACCAAAAAAAACATGCAAGAGACTCATGTAGGCTGTAAACAGAGAGCACATGAGCTCTGAACACTCAACCACAAAATTGGTGGTTTGAGCCCACCAGCTGCTCCTCAGGAGAAAGATGAAGCTTTCTGCTATCGCAAAGAAAAGACGTATAGCCTTGGAAACACAGTACAGGGTTGCTATGAGTCGGAATCAATTCAATGGCACTTAACAACAACCACAGGCTACATGTAGCCTTACTGAAACTTGGATAACAAACCAACCACTAAGTTAAAAATAAAGGGCCCAGACAATGGCTTGTGGTTAATGGGCATCAACGTGCTTTAAGTGCTTCCTTAACTGTGCTTCCCCATACTCACTCAGCCACTAGGAAATTTCTTCTTATTTTTTATAAGATGAGTTGACAAATGAGATTGTTTCAAAGTAATACCTCTGCTGGCATAACGCTAGCCCATGATTTTGATTTAAGGGAGGAAAACAGGAGAAGTTAACAAGCTCAAAACAAACAAACAAAAAACCAACAAAAGGCTAAGAACTTAAAGAACAAACCCACCTCTAAATAAACATAATGCAGGGCACCAAAACAGCTTTTTTCATCTCCCACCCTCTGTGTGTAAAGCTCTGTTCATCTTGCTGCCCTTAGTTTCTCCCCTTGTTATTAGTGTTAACTTTTATAGGCAGCCAACATTTATTGGGCTATTTTTTGTTCATAAAATTTTAAAAAAACATGAAAAAATGTGTTGTTACTGATAACTAGCTATTGGTGGATCAGTATAGACTATTTTTGTAAAGTCTGCAATTAATAGCAATTGCTCAAAGTGACACTATTTTTTACGAAGTTTTTAAACTAGTAAATTGAGCCTGTTTACACACTAGTTGTTCGTCAGAATTATTATGAGTTGGAATCACTCGCTGCTGACACTTCACAACAAGTAGCCCTGGTGGTGCAGTGGGGGCTGGCAGCTCAACATGGAACTCCCTACACCACAGGGCTCCATTTACATATGTATGTGGTTGTTAAGTGCCAGTGACTTACTGGTTCCAACTCACAGTGACTCTCTATAGAGTGTCCGAGGAGGAGCAGCTGGTGGGTATAATTGCTGACCTTGAAGTTCGCAGTCCAGTGCTGATCCTACTGCGCGCTATCAGGAGTCCACATAAACATACACACACGTACACACACGTAGGTGGTGGTGTTGTTGTTAAGTGCCGTCGAGTCGGTTCCGACCTATAGCGACCCCGTGTAGGGTTTCCTAGAAGCAGATCGTGAGCTTGAACCGCTGACTTTGAGGTTCAGAGTGACTTTGCAATTCAGCGCATTAACCACAGTGCCACACCAGGACTCCATATATAAGTATGTATATACACACACACATTGTTGTTAAGTGCTGTTGAGTCAGTTCCAACTCATAGCGACCCTATATAGAGTTTCTGAGGAGCAGTTGATGAGTTTGAACTGTGGACCTTGCAGTTCAAGCTGACTTTGTGGTCCAGTGCTTATCCTACAGAGCACACCAGGATATGCTGGTTGTGGCTTGTGCCAGAGTTGGTTCTGACTCATAGTGACCCTATATGAGGTTTCCTAGGCTATAAATTTTTACTAGAGCAGAAAGCCTCATCTTTCTGCAGCAGACCGACTGGTAGATTTGAACTATTGACCCTGCAGCTCCTTTACACACACACACAAAATTAGTGGTGGTTATGTGCCGTGGAGTTGGTTCTGACTCATAGCAACCCTGTATAGGGTTTATAAGGCTGCAAATCTGTATGGGAGCAAAAAGCTCATCTTTCTCCTGAGGAACCGCTGGTAGTTTCAAACTGCTGACCGTGAGATTAGCAGCCTGACTCATAATCACTATGCTACCATAGCTCGTTATACACACACAAGTACAGTATGTTATTGTTGGTAATTGCTGTCATGTCGGTTCCTACTCCGAGGGATCCTGTATAGGGCTTCCTAGGAGGAGCTGGTGAGCTTGAACGGTCAACCTTGTAGTTCAAACCAACCTTGCAGTCCAGTGCATTAACCCACAGTGCCACACCAGGACTCCATATACAGTATATGTATACATAGAGCTCTGTAGGAAAAGCACTGGACTGTGGACCCACTCGATGGCACTTAACAATAATATTTATTATATACAGTATTTTGCAAGTAACATGCCCATTTAATAAAACAGTAGGAAGCTAACACCAATGAGGTTTAACTATACAATGACATTATTTATGTAAAAATATGGCATAAATACAGTACACAAAAGGGCTTCAAAAAGCTCTTGGAATAGTTCCATTATATATATATAACTAATACATGCACTTCTGTAAGAATTAAATTCCATAAGGTAAAAGACTACTGACTGCTACTAGCCTCAAGTGGCAAGAAAGGTGCCAGGCACAGAGTAGGTTGTTGTTATGTGCCGTGGAGTCGGTTCCGACTCACAGCGACCCTGTACAGGTACTACTGCTTAATGAGTGAACAGTTAAATCCATCAGTTTGAAACTAATTTGTAAAACCAAACCCTTCACATTCCAGAATTGCATTCCTCAAACCTGCACACCTCCTGCACAGCCCTCGAACACCCAGAGCTGCGAACAAGCTAGGCGCTTGACAAAAATAAAGCTGGTGAGCTTGCACCACCTCCCAGACCCACCAGGGCACGCCCTCAGTCTGTCATTAGAAGTTTGCGCCACGCACTTTGTGCTGGGGGTTCCCGGTAATTTGGATTTCCTCAGACTGACAGTGCTCAGGCCTCCGCAGACTGGGAGGGCAGGGCAAGACCTTCGGCCTCGTGTCCCCGAGGAAGTTGAGTGACCTCAGCTGACCTGACCTCCGTGTCCTAGGCCTTCCCTCCAGGAAGTCATAGCCCCTTCCCGGCCCCACCAGGCGACCCCTTCTCTTCTCCCTGCTCCGATCCTCACCCCTCACCTCTCGAAGACCTGAGGGCAGCGGCCGAGACGTGGCACAGGTGCAAGGCGCCAGCGACACAGGTACCGCCCGACTGGCCCCTCCGCGTGCCGTTTGGCCCGGCCCATGGGGGCCCGGGCCGCGAGCGCTCCCAGTCCCCGAAGGGGCGGCTCGGCGCGGCTGCGACCAGGCGCGGGGAGGGCACGAGCAGGAGGAGGAGCAGCGGCGAGGCACGTGACGCGCCGCCGCGGACCGCCGGGGCGCGGGGCCGCAGTGCCCCCAGACCGCCGGCTAGTGCTGAGAAGCGGCGCGCCGGGGCACAACGGCCGCTCGGGCTCCCGAACCGGCCCGCTGGCCGGAAGACCCGAAGCCGCCGGCAGCTTGTCAGGCGCTGCGGCCTCTCTCCCGCGTCGGATCGGCAGTCCATCCCCGAGACTGTCACTGACCCGGGCACGCGCGCATAGCGCTCGCGCCCGGAACGAGTCACGCGCGGCCTCGATGCTCGAGTGCGCTATCCAGAGCGCGCGTGGCTGCAGGAGCGGGCCCACCCTCTCTGCCGGGCGGGGCTCCGGGCGCGCGCCTAAAGTAGGGCGGGAACCTCGGCTGCTCTCCTGCCCAGGCGCCCCGGGAAGAGGCGAGTCTGCGCCGCTCAAGCCTCCGCCCTGCCCGGCAGACGGGCACGCCCGGAATTGCAATGAGCCACTGTCTTAATTTGTATATTCATTATCATTACAGGGATGTCCTAGCAAGGAAGCTAATTACCCAGGCGCCCTTCAGGGTTCGGTGAAAAATCCCTGCATCGCCGTCCTGTCCCAGATCTCACCCATCAAGGATCCCTTCCTAAATTCCCCAAAGTGTGGCGCTAGGGTTTATTTTTAAGGAATGGTTAACAGGGCCGAGGGAACGTTGACTACGTAGTCAATACACGTAAAGACTAAACTTTGAGAGCTTTTGTTTCTGGATTAGAGGACCATAGAAATGAGAAGGTCCTAAACCTGGGAATTTGAAACGTGGGGCATGAATGTTAAATGAGATCTGCTGGTACATTAAAAGGATATTTGAAACGACTGGCGTTCAGATTGTTGAACGTTTTGAATGCTTTGTGTGAGGAACAAAACAAAACGTGTTTGTTGGAATGGTTAAATGGATTATATGAGATGCTTGTTGTTAAGTGCCGGTGGAGTTGGTTCTGACTCATAGTGACCCTGTATAGTGTTTCCAAGGAGCAGCTGATGGGTTTGAACTGCCGACCTTGTGGTTCACAGCCCAGTGCTGATCTGCGAGATTCATCTATGTTGTTGCATGAGTCAGTAATTAGTTCCTTTTTATTGCTCAGTAGTATTTCACTGTATGACTGTGCCACAATTTGCTTTCTATTCTATTCATGACAGATGTGTTTCCAATTTTTTATGATAATGAATCAGGATATATGTCTTTTATTTTTAAAGGAGATATAGATGTAAAATTAATGATGTTAAGTAAAATCATGTATTTTTTTATTTTTAAGGTTTTTATTGTGGATTGAGTGAAAGTTTACAGGGCACATTATCAGGTTCACATTCAACAATTCATATAACTTGTTTCATTACATTGATTATAATCCCCTCCATATACCATCAGTTAA